GCCAATTGTTGGTGGGTGCCATATCTGCAGATTCAACCAACCCAGAAAGTACTGGGGGATGGGGGGGACTGTATCTGCAGTGAACATGTTCAGACTTTTTTTCTTGTCATTATTCCTTAAGTAACACAGCATAACAACTATTTAGTAGCTTTTACATTATACTAATTATTGCAAGTAATCTAAAGATGATTTAAAGTATAAGGGTGGAGTGTGTAGACTATGCCATTTTATACAAGGGCCTTGAGCATACATCTATGGGTTTTGGTATCCAAAGGCATCCTGGGACTAATCCTCTGTGGAAACAGAAAGATAACTGTATGTCCACTTTATGTCTTGACAACTTTGGTGCTATAGAGCCCTGCTCTAGAAATCATAGTGGACAAGATCACAAGACCCTGCGCCAGCTTCAGATAACAAGGAAACCAATAGATAATGTTTCAACAATAGAAAAATGACTTGACCTTGCCTACAAGAAGTTCAAAAATATAATTATTCCAGAAGTTGTTATTCAGCAGCTCAGGACCTAGTCTTTTTCATAGCACCACTCTGTCACACTCAGACCAATGCCCTCAAAGATACAAGCTAGCTGTCACAGTTGCAGCCATTGTGTGCAGAATTGGAGTTACTTAGTTAGCAAAAAGAGACAGACTATTTCTTTTCTGTGCATGTTATATATATATATATATAGTTGTTGATGGACCTTTATTTTATTGCTTATTTATATGTGGTGCTGGGAATCCAACCCAGTGCCTCACACGTACGAGGCAAGCGCTGTACCACTGAGGTACAACTCCAGCCCCTCTGCATGTCTTTTTTAAGACTAAAGAAACCTTTCAAAGAATTTCCCCACCAGCAAACTTTCTTTCCTGGAATGAGATTACATGCTCCTCATGGACAAGGGAAATTGGTACTACCGTGACTGGCTTAGGGCAATAAGAAACTAACTCTAAGACATGTAAGAGGGGCGGAAATGGCACAAAATGAGGGCCTCCTAGAATGAAAGAAAGGAAAGCAGTCAGGGGGGGCGGGGTATGCAGTCTCTATCTGAATCTGAAGGGTGCAATCAGAGAAAAGAGACAAGTACTCTGGCCCTAAGTAGCTTTTCTTGAAGGCCGTTTGTCTCTTGCTCAACTCTCGGACCTGCCAGTCAGTCTTACTAACCCTGGCTGTAGACCCTTCCCCTGGAGACTGGTTTTCATCTCCCTGCTTTCCCCTTTTGATTTATGCTAATTAGTAGCAGAGTTGGCTCCCAGCCTGGTGTTCTCACTGCTAGATCAAGAGTTTGAACACATGAAACTTTATGGTGACAGAGGACCCTAATAAACAAAGATGATTATAGACAGCAGGCCACCATAATAAGGAGTGTAAGGAACTGCCTGTGAAAGAGGCCAACCTTAGAAGATAAGAGATAAGAACTGGAAAATGGCATTGGCCAGGTTCACAAAATTTTTGCTTAAACAAAGTATTTCATGCATTTCTTTTTATGAATAAATTTTTCAGAGATGAAGCCGTAGCTCAGTGGAAGAACATGTACTTAGCATGCACATGGCCCTGGGATAGATCCCCAGCACAGAAGGAAAGAGCAAGAGAGAGAAGAAAGAAGGAAGGGAGGAGGCAAGGAGGGAAGGAAAGAAATGGAATAAGTTGTTCAAAAAAGGACAAGCATGGTTTTATATGCAATTCAGCTTTCTCTTGTCAACTTCCCTGGGCTTCTCTAATAACTTCCAGTCTATTATTTAAAAAGCTCAGGTTTCTATTTTCATCTGTAGCTTTGTTAATTTTAGATATTAAATGCAGCTCTTCTTTACACAAAAAAGACTATAATTTAATATTCAGTTGATATGTAATAGATACTTTAAAAAAAAAGGTATTTTCCCCCTTTTGTCTTCCTTCACCTCCCTGAATGTGGGTGCCTGATTCCAGTTTCCCCCTTACCCTCCCATCCACTTCTGAGACCACATGTTCCTGACAGATAGAGAATATCCAGGTGGCCCAGTACTTGGAAACCTGTCAGATGCTATTCAATGCAATAAAGAACACATCATACCAGTCTTTGGCGTATTGTTACAGGGAAACCCTGTTTAGAATTCACTAATTGGGAATTTGTGATAATTTGAGGAAGGGCTGGCTGAAGTTAACCTTTGTACTATCTATGGAAAAAAAAGAGTTCACTGAAGTTCTGAATAGTATAAACAAGATTGGAAGGGGAATAATTATCTACTTAAAAGAACCAGTTGTTTTGAAAAGCTTTAGAAGTATCCTTTTACATACAAACAGGGTAATTATGATTTAAACAAAGGCTGGCCTGTTTCTTAGGCTTCTTTGAAATGTCAATTACAAATTACTCTTGTCTATTCACCAAGGCAAAACCGACCCCTGTGTACCAGGCCACAGTTGGTTAGCTTGCTTCCACTTACTATATTTGAAAATAATAAACCCAAAGTTCTTTTAAAGTAATATAATTTAATTCAAGCTTTTCACTATCCTAGAAAGCTGGTCCATCCTGGAGAATGGGTAAGGATTTACTGAATGCTAGACAATCAGGAATGCGTGGAAACAATTACTTTCACTAATTTAATGGTGTAGCTGGATAAGAGGTGAAAATCTCCAAAGAAAACGACTCTACCCCAGTGACTTTTATGTTTTAGCTTATCAGTGTAAGAAACACAGTTTGTACTGCAACTCAGGGCACACTGAAGCAAAAACAATTCCCTTGCTGGGTGTGCTGGCACATATTTGTAATCCCAATGGCTTGGGAGACTGAGGCAGGGGTATCGCAAGTTCAAGGCTTGCTTCAGCAAATTACCGAGGCCCTGAGCAACTTAGTGAGACCCCGTCTCAAAATAAACAAAAAGGAAAAAAAGGACTGGGATGTGACTCAGTGGTAAAGCGCCCCTCGTGTAAGTCCCTATTCCAAAACAAAACAATTCCCTTATTTGTACAATGCTATTATTTTCTAAGTAGAAAAAAATTTTATAAGTGCTAGTCATAACATACTAAATTGATTTTGTGATCTAAATCACAGATAGTACCAAGCACATATTATGAATTTTCCTATACCTATAGTAAAATTTAATTCAAAAATTAGGCACTGTAAGAAATTAACAACAATAAAATATAAGAATTATAACAATATAATATAATGAAAGTTATGTGGGTGTGGTCTCTTTCAAAATATCATACTATATATACAGGGTTTGGTATCTGAGGTTGACCAGGAGTAACTCAGACCAATGACCAGAGAACCAGGGATAAGGGGGACCACTGTAATGGGTTGCCATTTTGAAAATACCACTCCAGAATGTGTTGGGCAATAGGTTCTTCATGACAGAAGGTGTAGAGGAGGGAGGGCCATAACTGCTATCTACTTTTCTTTATTGTATGCAGGTTGGTGCAGAGCCTGCAGTAAACACCTGCCTGGGGTGCCACAGGGAAGCCGGCTCACTGCCCTTTCTGAACCCAGATCCTGTCCTCATTCTCCTTCTCTCAAGGAAGGCTGTTGACCTCACTACTCTAGCCTCTGCTGCCTCTAGTTTCTCAATGTTCCATACAAAGTTCATTTCTCCACATGCCAACCCTTCCAGCTCAGTCTCCATTTCCCCCTTCTCTGTCAGGCTTCACCACTGCAGGTGAGACAAGTGGATGCTACAAGGCCTCTCTACCAAATGGGGTGAACACTCCCTAGCTCACTTTCAAACTGCTCCCATCTCTGCTCAGTTTCTCTTGGCTGTATTTTCCACTGACAGTCCTTTTCTGGTCTATCTGAATTGGGTTTGGTATTTGGTGTCTCAAGTTTTTAATTTAATTGCTTTTCATTAAGAACATAAATAATATAGCATAATAGAGGAAAACATGTCTGTGGTCCACCCAGTTCCCCACACATTTACCAGCTGTATAACCCTGGCTATGGTATTAATTTTCCCATACCTCAGTTTCATCACCCATCCCTTTGGGATAATACCTATCTTGCAGGCTTGTGAAGGGTAAATAATCTTATTAAAAAGCTTGCCTGTGTCTGGCATAAGGCTAGCATTCTCTAAGTGCTACCTAGTATCAATGTTGTTATTGTTGCTATTATTAAGGTTTAACCTACTGTAAGCTCATCTCTCCTCCTGCCAAAACTATCCCACCTGAAAGGAAAGTGACCACAACACTCAGAGCAACCAAAAGATCTTTATTGCAGCAGTGCAACAAAGAGAAAGGAAAGAAGGAAAGAGAGAGAGAGAAAAGAGAAGAGATGAACAGGGAGAGAGCAAGAGCAAGAGAGAGACAGAGAGCACGCGTAAGAAAGATAAAGAGCAAGAGAGAGAGAGCAAGAGAGAAAGAGCAAGAGAGAGAGGGAGCAAGGGGGGGGGCAGGGGGGGGGGGGGCCTGGCAGGAGGGAGTTTTTATTTATTTTTTTTAAATTTTTTAATATTTATTTATTTTATTTTAGTTTTCGGTGGACACAACATCTTTGTTGGTATGTGGTGCTTGAGGATCGAACCCAGGCCGCACGCATGCCAGGCGAGCGCGCTACCGCTTGAGCCACATCCCCAGCCCTAGGAGGGAGTTTTTATAGCCCAAATCTAATGGGGCCTCTGAGTCTGCAAGCTGCCTTGTTGGCCCAAGGGGGGGTTAAGTGTTCAGCCTTAAGCAGGGTTGAATGCTCAGACTTGAGGCAAACAGGTGATAAAGGACCAGATAGAGGGGGGTTTGAGTGTGTGGGCTATCTTGCAGCCAACATCTGTTCAGCCTGCCCTGCAGACAACACAGTTCAGCCTGCTCTGCACCCAACACCACCCAAACTTGTTCAGAGTTTGAAAGGATCTACCATGGAGCCTATGTCCCCAGCCTCCCCATTCCCTCCTCTCTACAAATACCTCCTATGGGTATACTCTCTTTCTTTACTGCATCCATCTTAGTTGAACCCTTCCCCGCATTCCCACAGTTCCCTGCATCCCAGTTCCTGATACTTGACGTAGATGGGCATCATCATAGAGCTCAATTCTGATACTTACCTGAGTGGATAGGCCAAAGATGAAAGCAGGCCCAGGAATCTCATGCCTCCCAAGGCAGCCATCCAATCAGGTGACTGGTTTCAGCCTTTAAAACCAGAGAAGACTTAGTTTATCCCATCAAGCAAGGAGAGACTTACAAGGACACTGTCATACAGCCCAGAGGCCCCATGCTGAGAGGCCATACAAGGCAACATCCAGCCATGGCCAGTGTCTGCAGCCTGGGTTTCATGAGTCAGCTCCTTCTCTCCAGTTGTGTATCTCATTCATTAATCCCGTCCCAACCCACTTGGCCATGCTTTTGCTCCTCATCCTACCATATCTCATCCTTTTTTTTTTTTTTTCAATTGTTGTTGTTGTTGTTCTTTTTAGGTATATATCAAAGTTGAGTGTATTTTGACATATTATACATACATGGAGTATAAGTTCTCATTCCTATAGTTATACATGATGTGGAGTTACACTGGTTATATAGTCATATATGAACATAGCAAAGTTATGTTCAATTCTTTCTACTGTCTCCTATTCCCATCCCCCTTCCTTTCCTTCATTCCCCTTTGTCTAATCCAGTGAACTTCTATTCTTCCCTCCGCCTCATTTATTTAATGTTAGCATCCACATATCAGAGAGAACATTTGACCTTTGATTTGGGGGACTGGCTTATTTCATTAGCATGATAGTCTCCAATTCTATCAATTTACCAGCAAATACCATAATTTCATTCTTCTTTAAAGCTGAGTAGTACTACATTGTGTATATATATTACATTTTATCTGTTCATCTGTTGAAGGGTACCTAGGTTGTTTCCATAGCATAGCTATTGTGAATTGTCTCTCTTTTGATTTAGTACCACTCTCTCTGGTTTTGATGTCCTCCCACCCAAGTTAGCTTCTATTTTTGGTCTAATGTTCTTACAGATTATCTTGGATAATTTTCTCATATTTATAGAATTTATAATCCTGCCATACTGAACCAACCTCTATTCCTTCTTCCTGTAGGCAGCCATCTCTTATCCCTCAACAATGGCCTGTCGTGGGTCTATCTATGAAACCAGGGAAAATATTAGCTTTTGGCATAAATGACTTGGTAATAGTGTCACTGATTTATGTTCTAGGTCTATAGTAGAATATCCAGGGAATGAGTCCTTATTTTATTATTTTGAAAATAACTATAGTCCTCCTTTTTGGACAGGCCCTGGTAAGGCTGTATATGTATGGGCATTATTTATGACTGTACAAAGTGCTGATTAACTTACCTGGAAATCAGTACTATGCCATCTTCAGAGAAGAATGATTAATATCATAGTAATTAAGAGTCTGGATTCTGAAGCCAGATGACTTGGGTCCAAATTCTGCCTCTGCAACTTACTACGATATTTTAAACTTGGTTATTTTGTTAATTTGAGGTTTATTGGGGTCCTACTTTCATAAGCAACTTAAGCATCTTGATCATATTAAGCTGGAAATACTGGAATTATTCACTCAATTGTGGATACTTGCCCCTGCTCTGATTCTGTTGCTTCTGTTTCCCCAGGTCTTACCTTTTGTATTCGTGAATTCCTTTGTGCACTGACTGAACTGCATTATTTATGTGCCATGTTGTCTGGCACTGTGCTAGGCTACAGAGATGCAAAGGTGACAAATCCCAAATTCTATTCTTAAGGGTGGATAAATATTCACACATACACAGGGCACAGATATGTGCTAACATACATATTCATCAAAATGTTAAGGGTGCTGAGTTAAGAGAACTTTCTAAGGCACACTGGCACACAGGGGAGAACAGTGAGTTCTGCCTAGGGAACAGAGCTAAATAGGTAACAAAGGTCTTTATGAAAAAGGCCAGGGCTTACACTTTTGGTTTTCTTTCTTTTTTTTTTTTTTTTTTTTTTTTTGGTGGTACTTGAGATTGAACCCAAGGATATTCTACCATTGAGCTATATTCCCAGCCCCCACTTTTTTTTAATATATATAAGATATTGTGTCCAACTACAACTAAAAAATATATATATAAATTATAAATATATATATTTTAGTTGTAGTTGGACACAATACCTTTTATTTATTTTTATGTGGTGCTGAGGATCGAACCCTAGCACATGCTAAGCAAGCGCTCTACCACTGATCCACAACCCCAGCCCCCCCACCTTTTTTTTTAAACTAACTTCTACAGAAGGTCTCACTAAGTTGCTGAGACTGGCCTCAAACTTGCAATTCTCCTGCCTCAGCCTCTGGGGTGACTGCAATTACAAGTGTGTATCACCACACCCAGCTAAGTCAAACCCTGATGCTTCCTGCTTCCCACCTGTGCCTTCAAACCCACTCCAAAACGAGGCAGTCTGACTTAGACTCTACAACTTGCCTTAGAAATGTCATCCCATGTCCTGATTTCTAGTACCCTAGTCCCAGTGGTTGTAATGGGTTGAGGAATCTGCTCTTTGGTTTCTGACCTGTCCCTTCCCTGTCTCCACCCCCATTAAAGGCTCACCCCTTAGTTATAAGGGCTGCATGCAGTCTTGACCACATATAATACCCAAGTTTTTCCCCAAGACTTAAGTCCTTCTTTGAACTCTAGCCCCATCACCAGTCCCTACTGGCTTATCTTGTCTTCATCAGCCTTCTCTCAGATATGGGCCTTATTTTATATCCCAGCTGCAGTCCTACCACCCAGTCAAAGAATGAGCACCAGAACTGCCACCCATCTACCAAGGCCTGGCAACCCCACTTCACTGGAACCATGGCTGAATTTCAGCTAATTTGTGACAAAGGCTAAACTTTGGTCAGGCTCCTCTGAGTCCTATTCTTAACTAGGCCTCAATTTTGGTCCTGGTCTCTTTGGCCTGTCCAGCCCACGTTTGTTTTTTGTTTGTTTTCTTTTGCAGTACTGGAGATTGAACTCAGGACCTCACACATGGTCCAGCCCAGTTTAGCAAGAATCTTGCTAAGTCAGTTTAGTGAGAATCCCCCAATATCAAATCACATTTCCTATCTGATCAGTTCTTCAGCTTCTACCTTTGGTGTATAGTCCTTTGTCTGCCTTTGCCAAGAACCTTGTTTAGGTCAATTTAGCAGGAATCTTTGAGATATCCTTTTTATATCAACTGACCCCCTCCATCTGCCCTTGGGCTATAAATCTCTGTTTGTCCTTGTTATATTAGGAATTGAACTTCATTTATCTCCCTATTGACCTCTATTGCCATAACCTTGTATAAAGTCTTCCTTACAGTTTTAACAAGTATCAGAAAAATGTTTTCTTTAGCACCTATCATGCCCTTGGTACAACAGCTGTGGACAGCCCATAGTCCATCTACCCTTCTGAGTCATGCTGCCTCCCCTCCCTGGTCTACTCCAGGAATCAGTTATTTTTTTCAGGCCCCTGAGCTCCTCTTCGTCAACAGCCCCTAGTAGATACATATAGAAGCACAGCTGTGGTAGAGTTGTTTGAAAATAGAAACCTAGAAAGGATGGGCCAATTCTATTCCAATCAACTTCCTCTAGTTCATTCCATCAGTCAGATAACCAAAATATGTGAATAAATGTAAATGGTTTCTCAACATAAATTTATTTCCAAAGAGCTTCCTTATTTGCATTTTAGATATAAGCAAAATACACACACTCAAGGCATGAAGTATCTGTCCTGTGCTCTTTTGAATAAAAGAAAAAAATCACAGTGAATGCAGATCTTCAGTGTTCCAATGGTGCCAGAAACAAATTCACTGGCTTTTTTTTTTTTAAAAAAAAAAAAAAAAGAATTGTCTGAAATTTTACCTCTTGGGTTCCAAGTACGTTTTTGTTGATAGTAGAGAAACTTTATTATAAAAGTCTCCTCACCTAGGGCTCTGGTGAGTTCTCATTTTTATTAATCTCTTTCACTTGGCTTCAAGTAAGGTAAGATGAAATTCAAAATTTGTTGAATTTTGGATTAATGTCAGGCATAGCATTTTCCTCTGGAGTATCTCCCTTCATGGGGACTGATACTGAAGTGTTCTGTAGGAAATGGCGTGTCAACCACTCATTGGTTCTCATGGCTTTGCAGTGGAGGCAGGGCCTTTCCCTGATTTGGTAATTTCCCAGATTTCCTTGCCTTTGAGCTATTTTTCTCTTCTTAACAATGGTTGGGGACAGATGCTGCTCACTTTCACTCTCCTTCCATGAGGAGGCTCCTGAGTTAGATTCTTCACTGTCACACTCAGTAGTGTCACTGTCATGTTGGGTCTGATTCACCTGATGGAGTTGAGACTGGCGCCTGGCTCGTCTTTGTTCTAGATAGGCAATGACCAAGGCCACTTCTGAGTCCGTTACTGGGGAAAGTCGACCCTGTTTTGTTTTTTTCATTGTTTGAGAAAAGGCCCAGGAACCGTCTTTGTTTTGTCGCTTATAAGAATTTTCTTTGCTTGCTAACCAAGAAAACAAATGGACAAGTTAGAAACACTGTTGTTTACTTTAACTTCACATCATCCAAGGAAGCCTACTGCATGTGTGGGCTCACTCGTAAGGGTCAAATGTCAGGTCACTGCTTTCACCCAATCAACTGCGCTGCTGGCAGCTGGCTGCACTTAACAGTGCCATACCCTATGTTCCCAAGACCAGACGGTAATAGACAGATGCTTGATATGTCACTTTTGAAGTTTTGCAGACCCCAGAATATTAAGAACAAAAGGGAGAAAGTCTCCAAACTTTGTCAGAGAAGGACTTTTTCTCCCTTTGTCTCAAAGTCTCAAACATTCAAGAATGTGTATGTATATGAGGGTGATTTGGGTAGCAAGAACTAAGGCTCTTTTCTTTGTGCATTGGTATGCTGGCATTAGCTCAGACCCAACTCACTAGAGCTGATAAATTTTCAGGAATTTCATGAGATGGTTACACATAGTCATCACTAAAAATCGTACAAACTTACAATTAAGTCAATCCACTAAAAATAGTAATAATTACTTAATAACCATCATTTCCAAATTATCGTACTGCAGTTTATTATGCTGTGTGTTCTTGAAACTATTGATTTATGTCTGTTGTGTCTGGGTGTTAGAAATACCATGCTGGTAGCTTGAAACCAGCTTTGAGGGGTTACCCTGAAAATCAGCAAACACAAAAGACCAGGATTTGATGTATGGTTTTGTTGAATGTCTAAGACTAAGAAAGTGACAGAGAACATGTTACTAATGCAGACTGCAGTGCCATGCTGGCAGCCACTACATTGTGACTAACTCCCTAAAATGAAACATTCTTCCAGTATTGTAAAGCTATTAGCCATTTCAGCAAAGAAACCCACTCACATCATATACAACCAAGTTCCAACATAATATCTTTTTCACTTTCATTTGAGGAAAACAACATTCATGCTGGAACTATACCTGTTCATCAACTGCAGCCATGCTCAGGATGCAAGGGTCTGGAAAAAGTCAAGAAGAGGGCTGGGGGTAGTAGCACACCTTGTAATCTCAGAGGCTGGGGAAGCTGAGGCAAGAGGATCATGAGTTCAAAGCCAGCCTCAGCAACAGCAAGGCATTAAGCAACGCAGTGAGACCCTGTCTCTAAATAAAACACAAAATAGGCTGGGGATGTAGCTCAATGGTTCAGTGCCCCTGAGTTCAATCCCTGGTATGCAAAAAAAAGTGTGGGGGGGGTATAGCTCAGAGGTAGACCTCCCCTGAGTTCAATCCCTAGTACCACCAAAAAAAAAAACAAACCAACAACAACAAGGAGAGCATTTTTGTGAATCAGTGGTCTACACAGAATTTACCATAAAGGGCATTATATATTTTATTATTTATAAATTGTGTAAATTAAATTATAAAAACATGCACATTTTGGGAGAACCAGTTGTTAATTGTTACCAGCACACCACTGCTTATAGGTTATTGAAAAAGATGTCACTTCAGCTCACAACAAAGTGTACAAAAGGCAAGTTAATGTGAAGGGAGAGTGCTAAGGAAAGAAAAGAGAGCTTGTGTTCTACCTACCAGTAACTCATTGCTTCTGATGGCTTGGCTCAAGCAGCGGAGCTGTCCTGAACTAGGGAGTAGAAAAGCAAGGAGCTCACCCAGTGGGCCTTTGTTGGGTGGAGAAGCCCTGCAATGGTTTTGGCCGTTCACCTCTGTTGCTTGCTTTCCACACTCAGCACATGCCTCTCTCATCACAGTCCAATACCAAGCACACACCAGCTCTCACCTTTACTTACTGAAGTACTTGTTCCACCGTCTTCATCCTTTTTAGTCTCAGACATCTGTTTCAGAAATATATATTAGTAAGAGTGATCTCGGTTGTTTTTCACTAATATTTACTTGTTAAGAAATGCTATTGCCCAAGGCAATAATGTTGATGTCTAATTTTTTAAAAGTTTTTAGTAACCTTTTTTTAATATTTCCTTTTTAGTTATAGCTGGACACAATATCTTTATTTTATTTCTATGTGGTGCTGAGGATCTAACCCAGGGCCTCACCCACACTAGGCAAGTGCTCTACCTCTGAGCAACAACCCCAGCCCTCATGTCTAATTTTAAACATTCAGCAATTACATAAGTACTTGTTAAGTTCCTGTTACTATGTTTCTACTTCTGCTGCCCATTCAGCAGCAGAATCCACCAAAATGTTTTAAACTAAGCAAAATGAAATAGAGACAGGAGAGAAAATAATGCTGAGGAGGAGCTGCAGGTTATAAAGTTTTCCTTATACCCATTTACATAACACAGAAATTTCATTTAAAAACACATTGGATAATACTACAATTCATTCAAAATTATTTTTAAAGAATTGATCAGGTTAAGTTATTTAAGTTATTTTTTAAATAAAATATCTGATATGAGGCATTTATATACACAAATATCTTTACCTGAATTCACAGACTTAATACCTCCTTAATCTTTCAGATAGTTTCCTCCAAGATGCAACCATAATTTATTATCTTTTAATACGACATTCAGAAGAAATGGATTTCTTTGAATAGTCCAATTCCAAATATTCTGTCCCAAGACTATAAATATTTGTCCCATATTTCAGAGTAGCGTCCCACTTTCTGATGCTGAAGATGATTTTGCCAAAAGACGCAAATACAAAACAACTTTCAGAATGTATCAAAAACTTTAGAAATATTCATTAATGTCTTGACCTATAATTTTTTTCTCAAGGATTCTGTCATCAGGAAATAAGCCTCCCAAAAGAGAGAGCTTTTTCCACGGAAATATTCATCATTGTATAATTAGGATAATATAAAATTCAAAATTCAAAAGTAAATAATGGCTAATTAAATTATGGTATGATCATGTAAGATATAGTTGTAAAACTTATAATAAAAGTATGTCATAGCAAGAGGAAATAAATATTTCAATGTTGAGCTAAAATTCAAGATGCAAAACTGTATATAATAGTATGAGCACAAGTTTGCTAAAAATATGAAAAGAGACTTTAAGGAATATGTGTATAAGGAGTAGCAATGGTTGGCTTTTAAGTGGTTAAGACAGTGACTTTTTGTTTCTTTTTTCAAATTTTCTACAATTAGGGGAAAAACAAATTTATGCAGAAAGTCAAACTTCCTTTGGGTTGAAAAAATGCAATACTTGGATATTTATAACTGCAATCTAAGATCCTGACCCATTGCTTTCTCAATATCTAACAAGGTACTTCCTTGCTTTTTGGGTTACAATAACCATTCTCTGAAAATCTTGACAGTGGAATCCTTTCTGAAAACACCTTTTAAAAAAATGTTTTAGAGCTCCATAAATATTTTAAATGTAATATGTATAGAGAAAATTATTTAAAAATTGGAAATCTATAACACTCAAAGTTAATAGTTGTTGGATATTTCTACATAATCTGAAGTGATTTTTATTTTAGTTTGTCTATTTTCCTATAATCTCCACATTGTCTATAACATGTACTTGTGTAACAGAGGGAGGAAGGTATTTGAAAACACTTATTGGTTTTCTATCATTTCTAAAGAAAGCTTCCACATTTGATGCCAAATAAAAATAAAACCATAAAATCAAAAGAAAGATTTTGTGTTAAGCTAAGTGGAATCATACGGACTGTGGTTACAAAAAGCATTTTATTAACTGTCTTTGTGTGTGACTTAGTGAGTAAAAACAGCAGCAGTGCCTGCCCTGAGGGCAGAGTAGAAAATGTGGGCTGTGCTCTTTCTTTCTGCCACTAACCAACTCTGTGATCTTACCAAGTCACTTAACACCTCCCTAAGCTCAGTTTCACATAGGCAGAATAAGGATTTCAGAGTAATATTTCCAGAAAAATACCAGCACTAGCAATCTGAATAAATCCTAAACAACTATGTAAGCTAAATAGAGTATTTATAGTCTCTGAAAGCAAAAGGGTAAGTGCATCCTAAAAAGTGGGAAATCCAGAGGAAATCAGCATGCTTCACGTTGGAGGATAATTACCACCACATTTCCATTGCGCTATTACCATTACTTCAAGGTTTGTAAATAAAGTCTCATAGTTTCACAGAGAAAATGAAGAAGTTCAAAGTGAAGGAAAAATTCCATCCTCCTTGACTAGCTCTCATATGGTTCTCAGATTTCCAATCTGGGACCCTTCAGGAGAAGCAGTCCCGCCAATTGTAGCTGCCACAAGGACACAGAATGAAAGATGAAACCTCTAAGATAATTAAGGTTTTAATCAGCACTGAATAGATTTAATTCAACATTTCAAACTATGCTTTGAAGTAAACAAATAATATGGCAGGAAATCTAGGTCTAGTCCCCTCTGTCACTAATCACTTGTGTGACATTGGACAAGTCCCTTAATTTCTGTGGGCCTTATCAACTAAAGAAAGAGGTGGATAATGATACCTTGTTTGCCTGTAAACAGAGCCTGGACTACATACTCTCTTGAGTCCTTGAAGCTCAGGATTCTGAGTCTCCAAAGAGCTGATGCAAGCAAGAGAGCAGAGGAATAGCTGAGACCTCTCTTAAGTGGTCTTCATGATGAAATTGCCAGTGATCAATTTCAATTTTTTGTTAATTTTCTAAAGTAGCTTTTCTTGCCAGGCCAGACAAATTCAATATACTTAGCTAAGGAGTCTAAGACACATACAAGCTATCACTATTCTAAATCTCCTTTTGGCAAAGTATTTACCTTGAAGAAGCATTTAGACTTTAGATGAAACTTCTTCTTGGCTGGGATTTGGTGGGGGAGAAACTTTGATTATATAATGGAATCTGGCTGGCATAGACATAGCAAACCTCCTCTGCATCCAGAGCTGATATAGCACTCAGTCTAGCTGACCACTGCCAGACCAGGGCTCTGGCTGTAATGCTAAATGATGGTAGCTTGATTAATCATCAACCTGGCATTAATGGCCAGCAAGGATTCCATGTCAGCAATTTTCAAGAGCTTGGTTGCTCATAATATTTTGGGGCATCACAGTCCTGATAAAGTGGGCTATGTCATTCCTAAGAGCATGGGATTTTCTTCTGCTGATAAATGATCAAGGGTGGTGACTTTAGTTTAGTTTAGTTCTGCATCTTATCCTATGCAGAAAGTATACTGCTTCATTCTAAAATCTCCCAAATCCTCCATGAGTTTTTATCAATATGACTAACTTTTTTATCTTCAACTAGAATGACATGGCTACAAAAAGAATTAACCAGGACAGAAGTTTATCCAAGCATTACCTAACTTATGGATAAATGATAAATAACCTAAATATCATAAAACTGAAGAATTTTTATGATGCAACCACAAGATAGAAAATCAAGCAATCATTAGAAGTGCTGATGAGTGAATATAACTTTTGCAAGTGTTTACGGTATGTTATTAAGTTTAAAAAAACAGGATATGAAAATACAAACAATATAATGTCAGCCATGTAAGAGGAAAGATATACTGGGTCAGAAAAAAAAAAAGAAGAAGAAAAATAACCTAGAATGATACTAAAAAATGTTAACAGTGATTATCTCTGTGAAATAGAGATTCTTTTCAATATTCTTGGATTCTCTAAAATGACTTTTGAATTATTTTTATAACTAAAAAATAAATTTTTAAATAGTTTCAGCAAAGAAATTTATAAAAATCCCATAGTATATACTAAAAATATTATTTAAAATTAAAAAAGGATATCCTACCCAGACAGAAGCCCGAGACAAGAACATCAGGACAGATATAATGGCAAAATACCAAAGCAGGAAGTTCCCTATTGCCCCACAAGAGTCATCCTTCCGGCATTCATAATCCTGATTAGGAATGGTAAAACTTAAAGGTATGGGAGGAGGATCTACCTCCCAAAATAAGGAAAAAAGGTCTCCCATGATGGATTCTTGCTTAGAAAATAAAACATGCTCAAAGGGATGAAGGTGACTGGGAACTATTTCACTCCATGACGTATGACAATTTCCTTGGCAACCCATTATGACATACATTTAAGGATCTATTACAGGGATTGACAAGTGCTTTTTGTAGTTCTAAGTTTTTGGAAGATTTATCTAAATTACTTCTACAAAATTTTATGGTATTTTCCCCCATACTTCAATATGGTTTTTTTGGCCTTAATCTTTTTTCCCTTAAAATTGTATATATTTTTCATATCTTTAGATCTAAGTGTCTAAGGTACCACTCATTTTTATCAATCTCTTTTATATGTTTCATACCATTATAAATTAATATACACAATTCTAATTTATCAAAGACTGAGTTGTGTTCCCCCAAATTCAAATGTTGAAGCCCTCATCCCCCCACATTTGATTATATTTGGAGAGAAGACTTTTAAAGAGGTAGCAAAGGTTAAGAGAGTCATAAAAGTGGAACCCTAATCTAATACTACTAGTGTTCTTATAAAAAAAGGAAACACTAAGGATTTACCCGGCACAGAAAAAGCACACATGAGGACATATGACAAGGAGACTATCTATGAGCCACTCAGGCCTCAAGAGAAACCAATCCTGCTGACACCTTGGTCTTGGACTTCTAGCCTCCCAACTGGAAGAAATAAATGTCTATTGTTTAAGCTACCCTGTCTGTGATTTTTGTTTGTTTGTATGGGCACCTTGTGGTTTGTGATATTTTGTTATGGAAGCCCAAATACAATGGCAAACATCTATCAAACTTGATTGGCAGTGTTCTTTTTTAAGCCTGGAATAAATGCTCAATAGCTTATAGATTATATTAAGATGGAGAAATACATATGTGTCTGTTAAAAATTATATCAAATGTATACTATTTTTTTTAGCAAAGAGTTGGACATGGAAGAGGTAGAATCCTGACATTCTAATTTTGACGGTACATTGAATCGAACTTTTTTTCTTTGAACAATTTTCATGTTACTTCATTTTTAAATCCACAACTAGGGCCAAACAATATTACTGCAAAGATAATATAAAAATGATTTTAAAATCTCACTTAAAATCTGTTAGATCTTTAAGCATAGCAAACCCACAGATTTTCATATGCAATACAATGAACTTCATATTCTTCTATTTAACCTTAGGATCAATTTAGGAAAAATTTTAGTTACTAGACGAACATGATGGTTTATTATGACCATGGATTAATGTTTTCTTTGTGGGACACATTTCTCCCTATGTCGAATGAGTCCCCAGACTTCAAGCACCCCGGCCACTGGTTCTCTGGGCCTCAGGCCAGTGTCAAGATCTCCAAGAGATCTGGGAGCCAGACTAAGACCTGGGCCAAGGCTGAGCTACATGTGCCATCTTAGGGCTCACTACACTCATCTCATTTGGCCTTCACTGCACCTCTGGGCCTACAGACTGAGCTCCTGAGACAGTAACCAGGAAGTTCTCATTTTTTATATTTCTCGCCTAGCTCAGTGGCACAGTATATGTATTTGGAATAGAACCAAACTCAACTACTCCTTGATGAACCTTTCCCTCATAATTATAAGTTCCTTCAAAAGAATTTTCAGGGAAATAGGTGTTTGTTTTTTTAAACATTGAAAATCTTTAACAACTTCAATCAAACAAATTTTGGGGTTTCTTGTTACTGTTGCATTCTCATTATATAAATATTTAAGAATTATGTGGGGGGATGGGCTGGGTTGTGGCTCAGCGGTAGAACGCTGCCTAGCACATATGAGGCACTGGGTTCAAGCCTCAGCACCACATAAAAATAAGTAAATAAAATAAAAGGTATTGTGTCCAACTACAACTAAAAAATATTATAAAAAAAAAGAAGGAAAAAAAGAATTTAAATGGGGCCAGAACTGGGATGGATATGGAGATAAATATATATATATCACAAGGAACAGAATTGCTTTGTCTTTGCTCATCGTGTCCAGACCCATCATGCCCAGACCCATCAGGCACACTCTATCCAGAAAATTAGCCACCCTACTAAATAAAATCTGCTTACAAATGTAAGTACATAAAAGCCCTAAGGAAGCTAAAATCATGTTAATATATACAAAATTCATCTTGTTATAGTTATTACTTTTTACTGCGACTTCAGAACCTGGTCTGAATTTTGCTGTTCAGCTTTCTCCCTGCAGCTTGGTGGTAACTACCAATCCGAGCTGTTTCCCTGGTAACGCACGAGCCCGGTCCCTCCGCACCTTCCCCCCCCCCCCCCCCCGCCGCTTCTCGCGAGAAGAGACGGCCCAGTTCTTCCGGTAACTGTAGACCAGCCAGACTCCCGGTTTGGCCTTAGCGCTTGGTTTCGCGCATGTGCAATTAGGAGTGGCGCGAGTTCGCGACTTCCGGGCGAAGAACATGGTGCGTTCTCGGGGTAGTCTTTGTGCTTCCTGGACGTGGAGTCCACGCGGGCTTTGGGAGTTCCGCGCCTACTGATCTGCACGGGTTTCAGCCAAGGGAAGATACTGCTAGGCGTCCCATCACTTTTAGTGAAAGGGAGGAAAGAAACATTAGGGGTGACTAAAGTTTGTACTGAGGGATCCTGGGAGGGAAGCACTTTGCACTGGGGAGTTGTGAAGCGGACTGAAGGGCGGGAAGGGTACTGTAATATTCTCTATGGGATACGACTCCTGTAACTGGAACACGTTTTCCACTTGCCTGTTAAGTTTGAGTTTAGCAGGAAAAAACAAAAAAAGGAAACATAAATCCCCATGTGAAACAAAACCGAATACACTGTTCTCTCTTCCTCTGGTTCCTTTCACACCATAGGTACCCGCCGTCTAATGTAAAACCTTTAACTTTATCAGTACACAAAATGGAGATCCCTGGCTTATATATGTCCCAGTGCAGGGTTATTTAAGGTGGGACGTAATGAGAGCTTCTGCGTTAGGATGAAGAAAGAGTCTTCATGATTTACATGGCGTACGGAATATTTTCTCCCAAATTTGGGGTATATTGAGTTTTAATAATTTTTAAAAAACTATACCCTTGCTGTACTTGTGACATACCCCAAAAACAAAAGGTGGAATATTTGCAGACATAATAACGAACCCCTAAATTAGAAAAAAAAAAAAAAAGACATTTTTATTAACTAAAGTATTGAATTATTCTCTGAAAGAACAAGCCAGTTCTCTCTTGATTTCCCTGTGGTGCCAAAGAAGATGTAATTTAGGGTTCTCTTTACATACTGTGATACTTGATACATTTTTGGTTAGGTATTTTTAAAGATGAAGGAAAGAACAATTTTTACTTCATGAAGGACACAAAAGTTTTTATTTCTTACATGGAAAAGTAGTTTCTTTTGACTTAATTCCTGTGATTTTACTTTGAATAGATGCAAGGAGAGGCAAGCCCTAGTGCTTCCCTTATTGACAGAACCATCAAGATGAGAAAAGAAACAGAAGCCAGAAAAGTGGTTTTAGCCTGGGGACTCCTAAATGTATCAGTGGCTGGAATGATATATACTGAAATGTAAGTTAATCAGCCAAAAAAGGTGAAAATTTAAGCAGCCAATGGTTGGTTCCATAGTTTTTTGTATGTGTTTTGATTTTCGGAGTTTTTGTTTTTTTAATTGAAAACACTTTCTAATTTTTTCAGGACTGGAAAATTGATTAGTTCATATTATAATGTGACTTACTGGCCCCTCTGGTATATTGGTAAGTAATTTCTAGTAAACAATCAAACTAATAAACAATACAATTCCAGGTAATTATGAGTCTGTGAAAAAATATTAAGTTTGGGGAAGTTGAAATTTATATTTGTTGGTCTCCTGAAATGCTGTCTCCACATTTTCAAGAATTAGTTCAGATTTCTACTCCACTGGATGCTTTCCTTAATTTCCTCACCCTTTCCTCTTCTTTTGTCTGCTTTTCCATAATCCTTGAGTATAAAGGGTCCCTTATAGATGTTAAAGTAAAGTTCATAGTCTGGACTCATTAGTCTACAATCTGCCATGAGAGCTGGTGTGCAAAGTGAAAGAGCAAAGGATTTGGAATGTGCAGACCTAAATTAGAATCACGACTCACTAACTAGATGTATAGTCTTATAAAAGTCATTTGGGCTGGGCATGGTAGCACATGCCTATAATCGCAGCACTTCTGATGGCTGAAGCAGGAGAATCACAAGTTCAAAGCCACCCTCAGCAATTTAGCAAGGTTCTAAGCAACGTAGTTAGATGCTGACTCAAAATAAAATATAAAAAAAGGGCTGGGGATATGGCTCAGTGGTAAAACACCCCTGGGTTCAATCCCTAATCCCCCCCCCCCCCAAAAAAAAGAATTTGGCCTCTGACTATTGATTAATGATTAGAAGGAGGGTAAAGCTATCTCTTATACAAGGTTGTAAGGATTAGTGATAGTTTGAAACTCATTGACAAATTCTGTATACCTAATAGATATTCCTTAAATGGTAGCTGTTGTCAGGTGGTTTTCAATTTTGTTGTTAATGTGCTAAAATATGGAGGGTTTTTGTCCACCCCACCCATCAACATATACCCCCTCCTTTTAAAAATAAATTATTGTTCTTTTCCAGAGCTTGCCCTTGCATCTCTCTTCAGCCTTAATGCCTTATTTGATTTTTGGAGATACTTCAAATATACTGTGGCCCCAACAAGTCTTGTAGTTAGCCCTGGACAACAAACACTTTTAGGGCTAAAAACAACTGGTGAGTATATTATATCTCTTGCAGAGGTGAGGATAAGGTTAGAAATAAATCTTTTATAAGTTAATTTTTCCTTTTCATAGACTCAGAACTAGAAGGGACTTAGAAATCCTTCTGGTTCAACTATATTGAGCAGATCTATAGTAAACTGTCTTCAGACCAATGATTATTATTCCCGTTTCTATAAATTGAATGGAACTAGCATTCAGCAACGTCATGGAAGTTTGTTCCATTGTTCAATTACAATTAAATGACTAAATCTTGCATTGAAATCAATTTCTTATTTT